TGAGATTCAAACAAGCTCAAAAATAACTTCTAGACCACCATCACTGCCTCCAAGAAAGCAAAGTGTGAAACAATTGTTATGTAAGAGGTGAAGCCAGCCCAGCCCTATTTTTCTAGCACATGTCACCATTCCCACTGCCCAGTGACAAAACAAAACCACCAAGGGCACATCCTGCCTGTCATCTGGGGCTACGGTTCCCAACCACTGGTCCATGGCCTGTTAGGAACTGGGCCGCACAGCAGGTGAGCCGCTGACAAGCGAGTGAGCGAAGCTTCACCTGTATTTACAGTGTTTTCCATCACTCGCATCACCGCATAAGCTCTGCCTCCTGTCAGATCAGCAGTGGCATTAGATTATCACAGGAGCGACAACCCTACTGTAAACTGCTCATGCGAGGGATCTAGGTTGTGCGCTCCTTATGAGAATCTAATGCCTGGTGATCTGAGGTGGAGCTGAGGCAGTGATGTTAGCTCTGGGGAGCCGCTGCAAATACAGATTATCATTAGCAGAGAGGTCTGACTACATAAGAAATGTAATGCACTTGAATCATCCCGAAACCACCCCCCACCCCCACCCCAGTCCATGGAAAAATTGTCTTCCAAGAAACCAGTCCCTGGTGCAAAAAGGTTGGGCCACTGATTTGGGGCATCTCTATTATCCGCTTATAGTCATTCCTCACCCATGTATGTTATATTAAGTTTAATCCAGGCCTCTTTCATGTTGTACTTTTGTAATATCCAACTGCCCATTCTTCCTGATGGACAAACAATCCCTTATATCTTCCAAGGGAGGGGACTGAGACATGAGCTAGTTAAGGCGGGGGGAGGGGACAAAAACTAGGCAGGCGAAGTGCTCAGAATAGGGAAGTTCTTTCTGGGGAACACTCCAAAGAGGTCTGTTACCCTTGGTGACCCCAAAAGACTGTTTCAGACAGTATGGCTATTATAAGTTACAAAGGATATCAGGTTGACTACTGGCCACAGACCTGCCAGCAGCTCTAGCTGCAGCTGAGCCAAACCAATCCCATTTCTTATGGTTCCTTCAACAGCGCCTCTCTCTAGCAAAACACTTTTGCAAATCATTTCCAAGGACATGGGTAATTTGCATTCTCAGTGTCACTTTTCTTTACATTTTGCTACATTATTTTCACAGGCAAAAACTTTATGGCTGTACTGCTGTGATCCGCTGAGGGGGAAGGGAGCAAACACTAGGCACGGTAGTAATCTTAAAATGAACTTATTGATTAGAGGTGGAGATGAAATACAGTGCTGTGGTGAAGTGAAGATGCTAATGTCAGACTGACTGTTATGTGACTTTGAACAATTTATTTAAACCTCTAGGCCTCAGTTTCCTCAATCTGTATAATAATTGTGCTTACTTCATAAACTGCTGGGATATACGACTGTGAGGTTTAACTGAGAAAATGCATGTAAGTGCTTAGCCTTACACAAAATAAATGCTTTAAGATGGTTTGTTGCTATTATTTTTTTTTTTTATCACCCTGCCAATTAGGCATTACCATCCTAATTTTACAGATGAGGAAACTGTGGCACAGGTGGTACCAGGAGCAGAATCTAGAACTGCCCAACTTTGCAGATCAAACCCTTCCTGCCAACTGAAAAGATCCCTCACGTTTTGTGACTTCAGAATCAAAAGCCTTAGACTTGACTATCATAGGACAATGAAATTCTAGGTCTTCTACTAGTGATTACGAGATGAAGAGAACCTCTATCATATGAGAAGGGGGGTGAAAAAACTGGCTGCCAAGCTAAAGGGCCTACACCAGGGCTTTGAAAACAGACTGGAAGACATAGGGAGACGGCTAGGGCAAAAAATTAGCAACAATGATTCCCAGATTGAGACTGTGGCTAAAGTGGCATGTCAAGGAATCAGGAAAGCAGGCTGACAACATAAATGTACGAATGGCGGCCATTCTTGTCATTCCACACAATAAACATACGCAGTGTCTTTGTCATTAGGTTTGGGAATCCTAGCATTTGACATCTCTCTCTTGTAAAGACATAATACATATTAAAAGCAAAACTGACATTGTTCTCCTGCCATTCAACATAAGCATGTATATCACGTCCCACAGTGAGGAAAACAAACCTAAAAACACTTCTTACCTGAGACAAATTAAAAAAAAACAGCTGAGCATCTTGCTTAGATCTGGTCCCCAAAATAAACCATATCTTAAACATTTTTTTCTTTTGAGACGGAATCTCACTCTGTCACCCCAGCTAGAGTGCAATGATGTCAGCCTAGCTCACTGCAACCTCAAACTCCTTGGCTCAAGCAATCCTCCTGCCTCAGCCTCCTTAGTAGTTGGGACTATAGGTGGGCACGACCACGCCGGCTAATTTTTCTTTTCTTTTTTTTTTTTTTTTCCTAGAGATTGGGTCTGGCTCTTGCTCAGGCTGGTCTCCAACTCCTGGCCTCAAGCAATCCTCCTACCTCAGCCTCCCAGAGTGCTAGGATTACAGATGTGAGCCACTGTGCCTGTAATCTTAGCACTCTGGGAGGCCAAGGCCATAACTTAAACATTTCCTGTAAATTATCAATGCGTGGAGATAAGGCTGTTGTGAATAAGATAATAAAGAGAGAAAAACTTTTCCACTATGAACACACTAATGTAAACTTGGTATTCTTCATAATATCGCAGTTTTTTCCATTCAAATACCAGTTCTGTTTATTTGACAAGGCAGTCATTGGGCGGCCTTGCCCCTCTTTGCAAGTAAATTTCTTTTCCTTTTTACATGTCTTTGTATGAGTTGTTCTTTCATAGGAGCATATTAAAAGCTTTGCAAAGTCCTACAGTTAAAAAACTTTACTTTAGCATTTCCCAAACTTATTTAGAGGTCATACAGTCTATGAGAACATGAACTCTGACGTCACACCTCTGCCACTTGGAAACTGAATGACCTAGGACAAGTCACTTCAATGCTGAGGGTCAGTTTCACAATCTGTGGAACAGTGCTGGTTGCTGGATTATATACCACAGTATGTGACTAATAGAGCACCTAAAAGAGCCCTCAGCACACTGTGAGCCCCCGCAAAACATTAGTACTTCAGAAGTGATCCCTTCCCAACATTCCAATCCACTTGGTTTATATGGAGTGACATTCTGCAGGACGCCCTTGTTGGGAAACAATTAAAGCTTTCAGGCCAATCTATCTTCAGGTGTACGAGGAACAAACCAAGATGATCCTGATTTAAGGATCTTGGTACTTGTTCCTGCACTAAGATGTGAAATTCTGGGCAAGCCTCAAGTCTTTCTGAGCATAAAGTTTCCTTATTTGTAAAATCAGATACTACACAGAGTTGAGATTCAATTATAAAGCATTACAAAAATGTAGGAGCAGGTGATCAGGTATGGAAATGATAGAACGAATTAAACCATAAAGCAAAGAGGTTTTTCTAGGTAGCTACAATCTGCTTTACAGTACACAACGACCTAGAAACACTTGTCCAACAGGGGAAACTTTATACAAACAAAAATAAGTAAATACACATACACACGTCTTCACAAAAGACCTTCTGGTACAAATAACCTAGTAAAAGTTTCTTTACAGACACTCCTGGCAAATCTCTCACAATTGTTTAACATAAGCCACCTGGGCCTTGGATAATATGGCTGAATAATTAATGAACACTAATGCTAACAGGAAAGTTTTCACATAGTCACTTCTTAATTATTCACACTAATGAACAAAAAATACAGAGATGATACTTAAACTGTTTATTACATAATCAAACTATACAGTTTTTTTAGCAATGTTTCCCACACAGGTTTTACTAAAACCAATTATTAAAATGAAATTTGTATTTTCCAAGCAAACAACTCAAGAGGACTACATTCCTAATACCAGTAAGCCACAAGCTTATCAAGAAATGAGGGTGTGGCTGGAGCACGGTGGCTCACGCCTCTAATCCTAGCACTCTGAGAGGCTGAAGGGAGAGAATCGCTTGAGGTCAGGAGTTCAAGATCAGCGTGAGCAAGAGCGGGACCCCCTCTCTACCAAAAATAGAAAAATTAGCCGGGCACGGTGGCATGTGCCTGTAGTCCCAGCTACCAGGGAGGCTGAGGCAGGAGAATCGCTTGAGCCCAGGAGTTTGAGGTTGCTGTGAGCTAGGCTGACGCCACCGCACTCTGTCACCTGGGACAGAGCGAGACTCCGTCTCAAAAAAAAAAAGAGGAGGGTGTTACACAACCAAATTATTTCTATTTCATAGTAGCAGTCACAGCATAGCTACCTGGTGTTCTATAACAGACCATCCATTACTGTTACATTTCTCCTCCTAAATGGCTCTCTCAGCAAGATAAGGGTATCACTTAGCGTCTTTCGGTCTCAGTTTCCTGCACTGTAAAATGGGGATAATAACGGCTTAGTAGTGTTACGGTAAAGTGTAGTGATAATGAATACAAAGGACTTGAAAATATGCAGGCGCTTAACAGATTTTCAGGAAATGCTACCTGCCGTTATTTTCCACACAATATTCTTACTTGATAACTCTCTGCAACTTCTGGTTGCATCTGGATTCTTCAAACTCTTGGGAAGCGAGCTCTGGGCCCCAGCTTCTTTGAGGCTCCTTCGTGGTATTCCAATTTGTAAATGGCCTCTTGGTGTCTCTTTACTCAACTCCAAATCTCTTTTCCAGTTAAACTGTGAGCCCCAAGAGCCCTCCTCCCAGGACCCCGAGCACCCTGCCCGGCCCTGGCAGCAACCTCCTTCCTCCCCGCCCACAGGGGCCACACTTCAAACTCGCGGCGCGGCCCCCCACGCTGGCCTCGGCCACGAGACCCCGTCACGCACCCGCCGTATCCGCAGCTCTAGCCGCAGCGCCAGCCCTGCCTTGAAAAGCCCCATGGCGAACAGCTAAGTAACTTTCCGCTCCAGCCTCAGTTTCCCTGGCGGCGGGGCTGAGGCGCACCACCGACCACCCAGGGCCCGGGAGAGCTGCCCGAAGTGGCCTGGAGCTCCCAGCCCCTGCGCACTGACCTGCACGTGATCTGCTTGGTACTCATGGTGGTTGGGATGGAGGGCAGTTGTGGCTCCGCCGCCTCCTGCTACCGCCGCCGCCTGCTGCTACCGCCACCGCCGCCTCGGCCTTGGCCCGGCTTATCCAGGGCAGCCGCGTCACGCCGGCGCACACCGCCCCTCACGTGCATCACCTTAGTAGCGCCGGCGGGAAACCTCGGCGCCGTCACAATTGGTTCCGCACCAGAGGTGGGACTGGGCGGTCCCCCGATCCCCGCACTCGGTGTCCGGCATTTCCAAGCCTCCGGAGCGGAACCTGCTGGGATCCTAGTCCTGCCAGTCTTATCCCGATGCCCACTGTTAGTTGCTACGATTCTGCCCCCATCTCCAAGAGCATACTTTAGCGAATTTTGGCCTCCCTCGAGTCACTCCCCCCGCCGCCCCCCGACCCCAGCGTAAGCTCCCACCCCTCCTCCGCGTACCTCAATCCCAAATGCTCCTACCCATCCAAACTTGTAGTCGCGAGGGCCCCTTTTCAGGCCCCGCCTCAACTGTTACCGCAAGACGTCGCTCCCACTTAAGGAAATTCCTTGGCCCTCTCCCAACTGCTCTTTTTAAAAAATCTCTACTTCCACCTCAAGTTTTACTCCTCATTTTCTTTCCTCGCATGCCTCCGCCGTTCATCTTCCATTTCCTATGGCAGAAACCCCAAAAGTTATTCTTGACATTTCCCTTTAGTTCTCTATATCCTGCAGATCCTGCTCCCACACCTGTAGCCAATGTGCCCTCCTCTGTCCATTTCCACCATAATGGTTAGTCTAAGCAACCATCCCTTCTTGCCTAGGCCATGCAACAGCCTTTTAACTGGCCTTCTCGCTTCCAGTCTGTCCCTCTTCTAGTCAGTCGTCACACAAATTCTATTTTTAAAACATGTATCGATTCAAGTCATTCACCTCCTTTCAGTGATTTCCGTTGCTTTTTAAATTTTTTTACTTTAAAAAAATTGAGATATGACATGCACGACATAAATGCCCAAGACACATATATGCCTCTATGAATTTTTGCATATGCATGCACTTAAGAAACAACCACCCAGATGAAGATAAAGAATATTAGCACCCAAGAAGTCTCCCTTATGGCCTGTCTCAGTCAATGGCTCCCAAAGGTAGCTGCTTATTTTCACCCCTATCACTATAGTTTTGCTCGTTCTTGACCTTCACATAAATGAAATAATTCAGTATGTACACTTTTGTCTGCCTTCTGTTGACTAACATTGTATCCGTGAGATTTTTCCATGTTGTTGTGTATAGCTGTATGCTGTTCTTCTACTTTGCTATAAAAATATCCAGTCTTCTAATGAATGAACATGGTATATACTTCCATTACTTAGGAACTTTTGCAATTTTTCTCAGGAATTTAGGAGTATTTTGGAAATTTTGTAGTTTTCAGTATATAGGTCTTGAATTACTTTTATTAGATTTATTACTAGGTATCTAGATGGGTTTTAAAAACAATATCGTGGCCGGGCGCGGTGGCTCACGCCTGTAATCCTAGCTCTCTGGGAGGCCGAGGCGGGCGGATTGTTTGAGCTCAGGAGTTCGAGACCAGCCTGAGCAAGAGCGAGACCCCGTCTCTACTAAAAATAGAAACTAGCCGGACAACTAAAAAAAATATATAAAGAAATTAGCCGGGCATGGTGGCGCATGCCTGTAGTCCCAGCTACTTGGGAGGCTGAGGCAGGAGGATTGCTTGAGCCCAGGAGTTTGAGGTTGCTGTGAGTTAGGCTGACGCCACGGTACTCACTCTAGCACGGGCAAAAAAGTGAGACTCTGTCTCAAAAAAAAAAAAAACAATATCGCACTTTAATTTATAACACATTTGATCCATGCAATTCATGTTCATAAAAATTACATACTGCTTATCATAAAAATCCAATTTATTTCATTCTTTATGTAATACATTCACTATATGAACACTATTATGTTCAAATATGAAAAAAAAGTATAAGGTGAAAAGTCTCATTCTCCCATCAATTTAGTTCCCACCTCTTCAAAAACAGAAACAAACAAAAAACCCAAAACCTAACCTCTGTTATAAATTTTGTACATATCTTTCCAGGATTTCTACATACACACACACACACAAATACAAGTAAACAAAAGTATTTTTCTCCCTTTTTATAGAAAAGATAACATACACACTGTTCAGCACAGTGTATATGAACAGTGAAGATTTTTCTGTATCAATACATATAGTCTCTTCGTCCTTTTGTAGAACTGTATAGTTATAATATTCCATTGTATGGATATGCCATAATTTATTTCACCAAGCTTGTACTGGTGGTTCTTAGAGTGTCCATGCTATTAACACTGGACCAGAAAGAGCATATTCTGTATTACTTCACACAAGCTGTACCCAATTCACTGTTTTCTGAATTCAGTGTTGCTGAATTACCATGTCCTGCCCTACACTTGGACATCAGTACTCTGGTTTCCTCACCCTCAGGAGACCATTCGCTGGCAAAGAATGAAGGGTCTCTTCCATCCCGCAGCAAGTGTACATTAAACCTTTACGTCTGCTTGCTGACTACCAACTCCTGATCTCAACCCCTTCAGAAAAGCAGCTCCACTACCAAACACACAGGACAAAAAAATATGTCAAATGGAGGCAGGTGAAGAAACTGAGAAAGGGCAGGTGGCTCCCAGCTGGACATTAAAATGGCCATTTGGGTGCAAAGATATGGAGACTGCACAAAGGTGGGCCAAGAGTCTTGTAAAACTTTCTTTTCTTTGTGTGGCTGTCTGTCCATAGATAAGGTTTTTGATGCTATTTTAAATATTTTCTAAATTTCCTAATTATTGCTTGTATACAAAAATACATGATCTTTGTATATTGATCTGAGATCCAGCCCCATGCTAAATTTTGAATTAATTCTAATGGTTTCTTTGTAGATTATTTTTCACTTTCTACACACAATCATGCCATCAACAAATGAAAGCTTTACTTCATTTTCAATCATTATATATTTCGTTTCTTTTTCTTGC